GAATCGTCATGTAAATATCTGATATGCAGGATGTATTTTCATTGTTACAAATTGAACATCATGAAAGCATAGTGATGAATCACAAAAACAATATGTAATTATGTGTTTTCCGATGGTCTTAGGCGACCCCTGTGAAAGGGTCGTCCGACCCCCAAAGGGGTCGCGACCCACAGGTTGAGAACCGCTGCTGTAGATCCAGGGACTGAAGCTCTAGTCCAGGTCTTGCTCATGGTGTGTGGTCCGGGGAGGGAGGAACCGGGCTCGGAACCGAAGACATCTAGCTCTCCCATCAATGCCCCTTGGCCTCCCTTACCCAGCTGAGGGACAGGGGAGAAGTCCTGCCCAAAGGGAGTAGCCTCTGTGTTCACTGAGGCAGGAGGGGCCTTTTCGTGCTAACAGCCCCAAGTGGGAGAGCCAGTGCGTCCTGCCTTGCTCTGTGCTGGCTGCTTGGGGACAAACTCAGGACTCTGTTTCCAGGGAAAAAAACACAGTAAAGATGGCTTCTGGGGCCACCTTGAAAGACAAAGAAAAGGGAGACCCTCTGGTCTCCAAAGAACTCTTTAAACTCACCTCTGACTATGTTCCTTGGCTTTGCTTGAAACCCTTTCATGACCCCCCAGAAAAATGTCCAAGCGTTCCCACCTGCCCTTGTGGTCCTCTTGAGTTGGGTCCTGCTGACCTCTTGAGCTTCAGACCCTGCCCCTCCTGTGTCTTCCTCTAAAAAAACCCCACAAACGGCTGCTAGAACTTTCCCATATCTCATTCAACCCGATTCCTCTGCCTGGAAGTCCTTTGACCCTGTTCTGGTTATTAAACTCTTATTCCACCTACAAAACCCGCCTCTGAAAACCCCTATGATTCCCCCCTCTCAGCACAGTTATTTTATCCCTATAGTATATAATGTAGTCCTGTTAGAATCCAATACTAGGTTTTCCAGACTGAGGGCTGGGATCAATCTTCCACTTTTTTTTCCTGACTTCCCAGCCTGAGCCCTGGCCCACAGTAGGCACTCAATGTGTATTTATTCAATGGACAGATGGAAAGAGACCCCAAAAGATAATCAGGCATCATGCATAGAGAGAGGGAGGGGATGCTGTTGCTTAGCAACTGGCAGCTACGAGGGTCTCATCCTTTCCAACCCTCAAGGGGGTTACTATCCTTCGTCCCAGCAGTAGCTGGGCCTTCCCCGGAGGCGTCAGCCCTGGGTGCCCCCAGGACAGATGCCAACCGCACCCCTTGACACCAGCACAGTGTGGGGTGGGAGAGGTGGAGGGGACCGCCTGAGAGAGCCATCCTTTCTCTCACAGGCGGCTGGGGAGGCCAGGCTGATCTGCCACGTAAACCTGATTTCTCTGGGGTCATTCATTGTTCCTCTCTCCACGTTCCCTGAGTCCAAACACAGAAGAAATAATAATAATGATAATGATAATAAGAGAGGCTACCATTTAACGAATGCCTGCCATCTGCCACGCTCTGGGCCACCTTTAAATGTCCAATCCTCATGGTCCGTAGGAACTGGCTGTGACTCTCCTTTCTAACGGGGGAAACTGAGGCTCAGAGGAAGAAAGGATTTCGTCTGAGGTCACGCCAGATCATAAGTGGTGAAGACAAGATTTGCATCTGGGTGGGTGATGCAGGAGTTTATATCCTTCCCACCACTCGTTCGAGAGAGGGAGTCTTTCTGAGCCCCTCTACCCCAGGCCTCAGGGGAAGTAGGTTCCCCTCCAGGCCTCCTAGGGGACTCTGCCTGCTGCGATTCTTCACGTGTCCAAGCTCTACGGGGCATAGGTGTTAGCTGTGTGTGTGTGTGTGTGTGTGTGTGTGCGCGCGTGTGTGCTGGTGTTGGGGGCCTGGTGGGCCAGCATGAAGGCTGTGCGTCTGGTGGGTAAACGATGTGAATGTCAGTTACTTTGTGTTTCTGTTGAGTGGGGGCTCAGTAGTGGGGGTCCCCTTTTGGACTGGAGCTTCTGGGCTGGTCCACGTGTGCAGGATCTCAGCCCCTGGGAGCATCCTTCTTCAGCTCTGGGTCCCCAGCCCAGCTGTGTCTCCTTCCCTCGCTGGCCAGGAGCGCCCCTGGGACTGGAGGGGAGGCTGAAGGAAGGGGAAGGGAGGGGAGAAAGGCCCCAGGCTCCTGCTGCTCTGGGCTCTGGGCCGGCAGCGGGAACGTGAATTCGTCTGAGCGCTAGGGGGCAATGTGTCTGTTCCAAAGAAACCGCAGGCCCTTGCAGGCGGCGCGCGCGCACACACAGGCACACGCAGGGGCGCCCACATCAAGGAAGCGCACACACCGGCGTGTCCATGGGCACAGATGGGCACAGGCAGTGGCACTGGCTCTCACCCTCGCGGAGAAAACAGACGCGTGAGCAGAGATGCAGGCACACGAGCAATGAGGCAGCTGCACACACAGGGACGAACACACAGGCACACACACAGAAGCTCGGGATTGGGGACACTCACAGAGACCCAGGAATGCACGCGCACACAGGCACGCACACAAACACATGCGGAGGTCCTGCCTTCCCCACACACAGACAAAGACACAAATGCGGGCACATGCCACACGCTCGCACGACGACGTTTGTAGCGTGAAGGAGAGGTGACCCAGGCACAGGGCCTGCACCGAAACACAGCCGAGCCCAACCGCAGGCACGCACCCCGCTTTCAGACATCCGCACGCCTTGCAGACTGAGCTCTTGGAAACAGCCCCAGAGAAAAACTCCCACACACCCCTCTCGGGAGCGCACGGAATTATTCCACAGGAAACCTGCGCAGGTGTTCGGGGGACCCCCGCCCAGAGTCCTGTGAAGTCATGCCTCAGCCTAGAGCACATCCCAACAGGGGGTCTCCCCAGACTGCTGGTCTGTGGGCCATTCTTCCCGCTTCCCGGGCCCACCCAGGACTCCAGACAGGTCCCCACGTACCCTGTTCCCTCTGGACACATACAGCGACACACTCACAACTCAGAACCAATCACTCTGGACCAGGTGTGTGACCAGCTGTCATGGGGGCTTTGCCCACACAGGGGTCCTCCTCCTGGCAGCCAGTCCCCCTACTGGTCCCCCTTCCAGCCCAAGAGGCTTAGGGTCCCCCCAGGTCCTGGCCCGGGGCCCTGTGGGTGGGGAGGTGCCACCAGAGGCCTACCCAGGCCCTTTAGTTCTTTGTGCCTAAACCAGCCAAGCCTCACTCTCTTCTCCGCCTCTCACTTCCCTGTCACTTTGCTAAGTAATAATTTCCATGTCCAATTCCATTTCTTTTCTAGTTCTGAAACCTCTAAGCTATCAGCAAGAGGATAGTTCACATGAAAACTAATTACACAAAATCAATATTTAATCACAGACCAACAACCTGATCCTGCAGAAAAATCCTTTTAAAACTCCACCGCCCTGTACAAATACTTCTTCTCCATGCTTATTTATGGACCGCGTGTTCGGTGGGGGTAATTTTCATTTTTAATTTCAAAAAGGAAAAAAAAAATTATATATATATATCTGTCGGACGTTCACAGCCGGGAGGTCCCACGAAGGACCTGGGATCGGAGCCGGCTTCAGCTCTCTGAGTTTTAAAGTTGCAGGTTTGTATTGTTTGTCTTTTATTTTTATTCTTCTTGGAGGGCGGCGGGGAGGTGTCATTTTCCTCCCGGAGTTCCTTGAGATTCCGGTCTCCTCTCACCCTAAGTTGAGCTCTTTCCCCAGCATTTCTGAAAACCCAGCATCTGTCTTCCCAGCAGCAACTCCGGGGAGCCATGAATTCGCTTGCGCGGAGTGGTAACTTTTTAACTCCCTCCCGCGTTGGTGGAGTGCTTAATCTGAGGTTTTTAAATAAAAAGGGCTCAGGGGTTGGTTTTATTATAACGTTTATTTCATTTCAGATTTCATGCGTAATTTAGCAAACGCTAGACAGACTTAGGCGATAAACACTTTCCTTTGTGGGGGGAAAAGGCATTTTTATACACCATGCTTAATTTTATTTAGATTTAATAGCGATATCAGGGGCACTTCAAAGAAAGTTCTTTTTTTTTTTTTTTTCCCCTTCCTCCCCTTCTCCTAAGAATGCTGGTCGTCTCACAAAATTGCCTCGTGCTATTTTATAGCCAGGAGCGTTCAAGGCCTTCTCCCCTTCCTTCCCGCACACACTTCAGGGAGGAAAATACTCACACAGGCAGGCACATAGAATAAACACCTTCTCTGCCCCCCATCACCTCTAACTTCCAACCTCCAACTGCAAGACAGATTTCAGCCTCAGTGGGGATCAGGAAGATCTAAACATTTTAACTAAGATTATTGGGATAAATATTTCATAAAGAGCAGGGCAGATATTAAATTACTCCTATTGATTTTAGTATCACAACCCAATTCCTTGGCCTCTACAGTTTAATTGATCTCTTAAGGAGGCCAACCTCGCGCCCCCTGGGCCTCGGTCCGGGTGCCAGTAGCGGGGTCCTCCCGCCCGCCCGTGCGTCCTCGGCGCGCTGATCTTCCTCGCGGCTCTGCGCTGGACTTAGCCGAAGTGCCCCCCCCCAATAAAGTGACCGAGTGGTCACGGCTCCTCCCGGTGGAAGCCAGCGACTGAGGACTGGGAACCTCAGGCAGTGGGGTTAAGGGAACAATTGTGCATGCCCTGGCGAGGGAGGAGCGAGCAGGAGCGCGGGTGTCTTGAGGAGAACCCTAACTTCAGGGGTTCCCGGTCTGCTTTCAGCTCCAGGAAAATCCGGGGACCGGTTAAGTTGGGCGCCACTGGTGAGCCGACTGCGGTGGAGAGCCGAGGGTTCGCCTCGGGTTGAAGCACAGGCGATACTTAGCGACTTTCCCGGCGAGTCCAGGCGCTGTGCCTGGAGACCCCATTGTCTGAGCGCCCCGCACCGCTTACCACCCACCTCCCCGCCCCCTGCCCACCCCGCAGGTCTCGCTTCAGTTGGGGGTGGGGAGTTGGTAACTGTGTGAGTAGGAAGGGGGTGAACAAAGCCAAGCTCCCGCCATTCTAAGCCTGCGCCCTCTCCACCCCGATGCGCTGGGAGGCCAGGGCGCGCGCCCCGAGCGCACTGGCGCCGGACCCCCGGGCGAGACCCGAGCGGGGGACCCGGGAGTTGGCGAAGTGCGGGTTCGTAGGGGGGCCTCGGCAGCCAGTACCCAGGACCACCTTAACAGCGAGCCCCGCCCCGGACCCAGCTCGGGCTGTGCTGATTGGTGCAGAGGTAATGGCTGAAATTGATTGCTGAAATGCAAAACTTGTTGCTGCTTCTCTCAGCGCTGGGCGAGAGGCAGACACAGAGAGGGGAGCTGAGACCCTCGGAACGCCCCACGCAGCCCCCCCGCCCGCGTTAGCCAGGAGAGGGGTGCGCGGACCCCCCAGAGCTGCCCCCGCCCCCGCATTCTGGGCTCCGAGAGCTCCGCGGGAACGCCTGAGCCGGCTCGCCCAGTGTGGTCCTCCAACCCGCGCCCGCCCCCCTCCCCAGGTCCGAGGGGGGACTCGCGAAGCACCTCGGCGCGGAGACAGGGAACCCGAGCCTTGGAGAGACCCAACCCCTCGTTTCGCTGCCTGTCCGCGCCTGGAACCGGGCGCGGGGACCCCGGCGAACTCAGAGACCGAACAGCGGGAGGACTCAAGCTGCAGTCGGCGGACCTGGCAGCGAAGCGGCGCGCGGGGGTGCGGCGCGCCGGGGTGCAGCGCACCCGCCGCGGAGCGGGGGAACCGTGTCTTCCCCTATCTCTCGGGGTCCAGCCCCGGGTGCCCGCTGCCTTCCCAGCCCCGCTGCGCCCTCGGCTCGGGGGCCGGCACGGGTGATGTCGAGCGGAGCCTCCAGCCCTCCGACCAGCTGAAGAAACAGTAGCCGCTTGCTCGGGGCCGACGGGGACTGTGCGAGTGGATCGTGCTTGGCGGAGGCTCGAGCTACCGCGCGCGGGGACTCCGGGGGAGGGGGGAGGGACCGCTCTGTCCGTGCCCGGGCGCCAGCCACGGCTTTAAAGGGTCTCCCTGCCCGGCCCCTGAGCAGCTCCGCTTCGGACTCACTCGGAGAGGCTTCGGGCAGCTTCCTGGGGCTCCCCACCCGACCCGTTCGGACTTAAGAAGGTGATCGCTCCGCTTTCCCTGCCTCCTTCCCGCCTCCTTCCCCCCACTTAACTTTTTGTCTCCACTCGCCTGCAGCTCTGTTCCCTCCCCGCAAACCCACCCGCGGCTGTGCCAACCGCCTGGGGCATGGGCCCTCCGACACGGCTCCTGGAGGCCCTGCGGCGCCGCAAGATGTGAGAGACCCGCGTGGGGCAGAGCCAGAGCTTCGGGAGAGGAGCGGAGAAGCCCCAGCCGCCACAGGCCAGGAGCGGTGGCGGTGCGCACTGCGTCCCCGCGGTGCCGGTGCCGAGCGAGCGTCCCAGCCCAGGGCCGGACCGAGTAGCTGGCCGGAGGCGCGCCGCGGAGAGCAGGCTGTCATGCCCTATTGATTTCCCCACCCCCCCGCCAAGTATGTTTGGGCTGGACCAATTCGAGCCCCAGATCAACAGCAGGAACGCTGGCCAGGGCGAGAGGAACTTTAACGAGGCCGGACTGAGCATGAACACCCACTTCAAGGCTCCGGCTTTCCACGCGGGGGGACCTCCTGGCCCCGTGGACCCTGCCATGAGCGCGCTGGGCGAGCCCCCGATCCTGGGCATGAACATGGAGCCGTACGGCTACCACGCGCGCGGCCACTCGGAGTTGCACGCGGGGGGGCTGCAGGCGCAGCCGGTGCACGGATTCTTTGGAGGCCAGCAGCCGCACCACGGCCACCCGGGCGGCCACCACCCCCACCAACATCACCCTCACTTCGGGGGCAACTTTGGTGGCCCGGACCCAGGGGCCTCATGCCTGCACGGGGGTCGCCTGCTCGGCTACGGCGGCGCCGGCGCTGGCCTGGGCAGCCAGCCGCCCTTCGCCGAGGGTTATGATCATCTGGCGGAGAGCCAGGGGCCTGAGAGCTTCGGCCCGCAGCGACCCGGCAACCTCCCGGACTTTCACAGTTCGGGCGCCTCGGGCCACGCCGTGCCGGCCCCGTGCTTGCCGCTGGACCAGAGCCCTAACCGAGCCGCTTCCTTCCACGGCCTCCCCGCCTCCAGCGGCTCTGATTCCCACAGTCTGGAGAACCGGAGGGTGGCGAACCAAGGAGCCGTCGACTCGCTGGAATACAATTACCCGGGCGAGGCGCCCTCGGGACATTTCGACATGTTTTCGCCCTCCGATTCCGAGGGGCAGTTGCCTCATTATGCGGCGGGTCGCCAGGTTCCCGGGGGCTCTTTCCCGGGTGCCTCGGCTATGCCCAGAGCTGCAGGCATGGTGGGCTTGTCCAAAATGCACGCCCAGCAGCAGCAACAGCAGCAGCAGCAGCAGCAGCAGCAGCAGCAGCAGCAGCACGGCGTTTTCTTCGAGAGGTTCGGCGGGGCCCGCAAGATGCCGGTGGGCTTGGAGCCGGGAGTAGGCTCCAGGCACCCCTTAATGCAGCCTCCCCAGCAGGCCCCGCCACCCCCGCAGCAGCAGCCCCCACAGCAGACTCAGCAGCCGCCGCCACCGCCGCAGCAGCAGCAGCCTCCGCCGCCGCCCGGGCTTCTGGTCCGACAAAATTCGTGCCCGCCCGCGCTCCCGCGGCCCCAGCAGGGCGAGGCGGGCACACCCAGCGGCAGCCTGCAGGACGGGGGCCCCATGCTGCCCAGCCAGCACGCGCAGTTCGAGTACCCCATCCACAGGCTGGAGAACAGGAGCATGCACCCTTATTCGGAGCCCGTGTTCAACATGCAGCATCCTCCTCCCCAGCAGGCGCCCAACCAGCGGCTGCAGCATTTCGACGCGCCCCCCTACATGAACGTGGCCAAGAGGCCGCGCTTTGACTTCCCCGGCGGCGCGGGAGTGGACCGCTGCGCTTCGTGGAACGGCAGCATGCACAACGGCGCGCTGGACAACCACCTCTCGCCCTCGGCCTATTCGGGCCTCCCCGGCGAGTTCACACCGCCGGTCCCTGACAGCTTCCCCTCCGGGCCACCCCTGCAGCACCCGGCCCCGGAGCACCAGTCCCTGCAGCAGCAGCAGCAGCAACAACAGCAGCAGCAGCAGCAGCAGCAGCGCCAAAACGCGGCTCTCATGATTAAGCAGATGGCGTCGCGGAATCAGCAGCAGCGGCTGCGCCAACCCAACCTGGCCCAGCTAGGCCACCCCGGGGACGTGGGCCAGGGTGGCCTGGTGCACGGCGGCCCGGTGGGCGGTTTGGCCCAGCCGAACTTTGAACGCGAAAGCGGCGGCGCGGGCGCGGGGCGCCTGGGCACCTTCGAGCCGCAGGCGCCCCATTTGGCGCAGGAGAGCGCGTGGTTCCCAGGTCCTCACCCGCCGCCGGGCGACCTGCTGCCCCGCAGGATGGGCGGCTCGGGCCTGCCCGCGGACTGCGGCCCGCACGACCCTGGGCTGGCGCCGCCCCCTCCGCCCGGCGGCTCGGGGGTGCTGTTCCGGGGCCCCCTTCAGGAGCCGCTGAGGATGCCCGGAGAGGGCCACGTGCCCGCGCTGCCCTCCCCTGGCCTGCAGTTCGGGGGCAGCCTGGCCGGCCTGGGCCCACTGCAGTCACCGGGGGCTGGAGTGGGGCTGCCCAGCGCTCCCTCTGAGCGCCGGCCCCCTCCGCCGGATTTCACCGCGTCTGCGCTCGGGGGCCAGCCTGGCTTCCCGTTCGGCGCCGCGAACCGGCAGGCCACCCCGCACAGCGGCCCAGGCGTGAACTCGCCCCCGAGTGCGGGCGGGGGCGGCGGCGGCCCCGGAGGCGGCGGCGGCGGCGGCGGAGGGGGCGCGTACCCGCCGCAGCCGGATTTCCAGTCCAGCCAGCGCCCCTCGGCCAGTAAGCTGGGCGCGCTCTCGCTGGGTTCCTTCAACAAGCCCAGCTCCAAGGACAACCTGTTCGGCCAGAGCTGCCTGGCTGCGCTCTCCACCGCCTGCCAGAACATGATCGCCAGCCTCGGGGCCCCCAACCTCAACGTGACCTTTAACAAGAAGAACCCGCCCGAGGGGAAGAGGAAATTGAGCCAGAACGAGACCGAAGGCAGCGCGGCCGTGGCCGGCAACCCGGGCTCGGATTACTACCCCGGAGGGACTGCTCCAGGGGCCCCAGGGCCCGGAGGCCCCGCGGGGACCGGTAGCAGTGGCAACAAAACCTCGGGGCCGCCCAACCCTCCCTCCCAGGGGGACAGCACCAGCCTCTCCCCAAACTACAACCTGGAATCCACGTCGGGGAATGATGGCAAGCCGGTCCCCGGGGGCGGTGGCCGGGGCCGGGGCCGCAGAAAAAGGGACAGTGGTCACGTGAGCCCGGGGACCTTTTTCGACAAGTACTCCGCGGCACCGGACAGCGGGGGCGCGCCCGGGGTCAGCCCAGGGCAGCCGCAGCCAGGCGCGGCCCTGGGGGGAAGCTCGACGGGCGAGGCACGCGGGGCGCCCACGCCCCATGAGAAAGCGCTCACCTCGCCCTCTTGGGGGAAAGGGGCCGAATTGCTCCTGGGGGACCAGCCGGACCTCATGGCGTCCCTGGATGGCGGAGCCAAGTCAGACGGGAGCTCCCCGCACGTGGGCGAGTTCGCCTCCGACGAGGTGAGCACCAGCTACGCCAACGAGGACGAAGTGTCATCCAGCTCTGACAACCCCCAGGCCCTGGCCAAAGCGAGTAGGAGCCCCCTGGTGACAGGTTCGCCCAAACTCCCTCCCCGGGGGGTGGGCGCAGGGGAGCACGGACCCAAGGCGCCCCCGCCCCAGCTAGGCCTAGGCATCATGTCTACCTCTACCTCGACCCCTGACAGCTATGGCAGCGGTGGGGGCGCTGGCCACCCGGGCACGCCTGGCCTGGAGCAGGTCCGGACCCCGACGAGCAGCAGCGGGGCACCGCCACCCGACGAGATCCACCCCCTGGAGATCCTCCAGGCACAGATCCAGCTACAGAGGCAGCAGTTCAGCATCTCCGAGGACCAGCCCCTGGGGCTCAAGGGGGGCAAGAAGGGCGAGTGTGCTGTGGGGGCGTCGGGCGCCCAGAACGGAGACAGCGAGCTGGGCAGCTGCTGCTCGGAGGCTGTCAAGAGCGCCATGAGCACCATCGACCTGGACTCCCTGATGGCAGAGCACAGCGCCACCTGGTACATGCCCGCAGACAAGACCCTGGTGGACGGTGCCGAGGACGACAAAACGCTGGCGCCCTGGGAGAAGGCCAAACCCCAGAACCCCAGCAGCAAAGAAGGTATATGTCCTCCCCTCCCCCTCCCCCCTTCTGGTCCCCTTCTTACCTCCCAGAGACCCGCCCTGCCCCCCTGGCAGGCCTTAGCCTCTGCAGCCTGGTCTGCAGCCTGGCAGGCCCCATGGAAGGAGGGAGTCCTTTGGAATTAGGAGACCACAGGGCCTTCTTGTAGTGCCCAGCTCAGAGCTGGATACCCTTCCTCTGACTCACACCAAGGGCTCTATGAGTCTGCCTCTCCCTCCCCAGCTCCCCTTAGGTGCTGCCAGGTAGATTCTGGTGCCACTGGGTGCGAGGAACTTAGGGGGCAGCGCTTTGAGGATTATGGCAGAGCCCCCACCCCCCTCCGGCTGGTTGCTCAGAGGTCTCAGCCTCAACCTCCAGGCTGGTTCCGGTTTTTAGGGGTTGCGTGCCCGGCTCCTGGTAGGTAGGACACGTGGGAAGTTATGTTCATGCCTCCCCACCTTTTCTAGGCAGCCAGCCTCTAGCTCCAGCTCCTCCCCTGTGTGCCAGCATCTTTAGAAAAAAAAAAGTTCCCAGCTCTGGTGGTGGCAGCATCACTATCACTCAGAGGCAACGCCTAATTTGACATTTGTTCCTGATGAGTAGCTGTTTTGTCTCTTGTTAACTGTTGGAGTTTCATTGAAAAGCTGGGTACCCGTAGGGGTTGTGGGAGGCAGGCCGTCTTTCCCAGGGGCACATCCCCTGGACCTTTGGTGGGGCTGGGGTGGGGGTCTGCTTGGCAGAGGCCAGGCCACTCCACCAGGGCATCGTTTGCGTACGGGGATGTGGATATATATTCTTAAGACACAAAAGACCCGCGTCTGTCAATATCTCCCTGGCTTTGGTGACAGATGTCCGGTCCCAGCTCTCCTTTGCATTCTAAGCACTCCCCTCCGTCCCCCCAATCAGGCCTGGGGGCTTTGAAGGTGGGTGGGGTGGGGGCTAGTCAATGAACCGCCATTGCAGTTAAGTAATAACAGTTTTTTAACCTGACGAAGACGAGGCTGCTGTAGATATCCATTTCATTTTAATGGGGCCTTCCTCTCCTTCCTTATCCCCCTCCTCACAAATAATGCCTTCTTAAAGTTAGGTAACATCATTTATTTCTTTCTTCCCGCCCCCCCCCCCCATTTCTACCTTTTTTTCTTTTAAACCCTACTTGAATCCCCTTGGTGTCAACAGGCTGAATTGTATCATGAAACCAGTGGCTGGCGACGCAAACCCCGTCTTTAAAAACCACATCCCGTGATTTTTGCCCTCTCTTAGAGTTCTCTTCCTCTGCCTTCATTTCCCTAGTCCTCCCCGCAGCCTGCCATCTCTTGGCCCTGGGTTCAAGGGCTGGGTAGGTTTTGGGAGAGTGGCATGGGCAGGAGGGGGAGGGGACGTACGGCAGGAGTTGGGTGGCTCAGACTCAGGGTTCCCAGGGCCGGCGCCTGTCCCGGGTGGCTTTCCCGCTTAGGGTTTCTAATTCATGAATGCGGCCGGCCTCGCTGCTTGCTGCTTTTCTCTTTGTTCGCCTACTGCCCAGCCCGGGACGCCGCTCTCTCATTTGAAGCCGGGTGTTTAGCATGCACAGCAGACGCTAGAGCCGGCATCAGCATTCTCCAGGCTTCTCCCAGGCGAGGCCATAAATTGGTTAGTTTGGGACCCTCCGCGTCTTCTCCCCTTTTCTCCCCCCCCCCTGCCTCCTTTTAAAAATGGAGTTGGACACAGCATCCTGCTTGCTCGGCCCCCCCTTCTCTTTTATTTTCTTGTACACAACCTCTCGATCGATAGCTGGTTAGCACAAATCCCAGCCCCTGTCACTTCTACCTGGCTTGGCCTGGCTGTCCCTCCTCCACCCCCTCCTCTCCCCCCCCCCGCCCTCCCCCCAGTAATTAAGAACATATTGGCCCAAATGGGGTGAGAAAAGTTAAGAAAAGAAAAACCCAATTTAGTGAATTCATAAAGAAAAACCAGTAGCACTTTGCCTTTGAGTCTTATGAAAGATCTTAAGTGGAGAAGGATTGAGTGGCTTTAATGAGTTGTTTTTGTTTTGTTTTTTAAAGGTGTCCCACCACTCCCTTCCCAGTCCACCCCAGGAATCTTCCTTGACAGGAAAAAAAAAAATAAAAATGAAAATGAAAAGATGCAGGCTGTGAATGGAGAAATGTCATGAAAGAAATGTTCTATTTTGCTTGTTTCATGATCACCGACAGACGAGGGAAAATTTTTTTTTTTTGGAAACAGATGCTAGTCACTTTAGGGTTGATTTGCCCAAGATGCCCGCCCGACGCAGCCCTCCCCTGCACCCAGGAGGACAGGGAGTTCCGTCCACCCACTTGACCTCCTTTGTTTTCCACTCGGTGATGTGGGAAGGACAGGTTCCTAGATAAAGCCCTAAATCGAGGTCCCTTGCAGCCTCTGCAGCCTTGGGGCTTCTGGTTACGGCTTTCTAAGGCATTTGCATCCGATCGCTGCTCCCTTACTGGTAGTAAATAAGGATGATTAAACTTTTCATTATGATAACACCCCACAGTTCCATCTGCACATGTTGTATAAATAGGTACACAGAGCCCCCAAGTCCCCCGGCTGAAAATCACAGTGAAGTGTGCCACTTCAAAATAGAGTAAAAAAAAAAACCAAAAAACCAGAAAACAAAAAAGAAACACAACACCCTTAAAGTAAAATGTCCCGCTTTCCCTTGAACACGTGCCTATGTGTTCCCATCAGCCGGGAAGCAGTGGTGTCCAGTGGCTTTGAATAATACCTTCCCCGGGGCCCAGCCCCAGCAAGCACTTTCATCCACCCACCCCCACCACCCCCCTTTCAGGCAAAGCCCACTTTTGTAATGATATTTTATTTTGTCACGCCGTAAAACACGCCAGTACTAATGTGATTAAATATTAACACCGTTTCTGAAATTCTCCGCTCCGATGACAAAATACTAGTCGGTATTTAGCAAAATGGCCCGTGCTCAGATCGGAGAGAAGGAATACGGACGTGCCCAGCTTGTTTTAAGGGGTACAGATGCCCTTCAGAGGGGAGGAAACTCCACTGGCAAGTTGCAGTTCTGGGAAAGTCTAGGCCAGCTTGACCTGTGATTACGATTTTTTTTTTTTTTAACCAGGAAAGCGAGTCTCTCCAAATCACGCTTCCCCTGACTTCTTAATCAACCCACCGAACAACTTTTATATAATGAAACTCTACATCTCATCATGAGGCCCCGTTTGCACAAAGTTGGAGTTGGGGGAAACGGTGAGGTTGTGCAAAGGGGGAAACACACACACACACACACACACACACACACACACACACACACACAAACCCCAGCCTGCGTTTGGGCCTATTCAGGCATCCATGACATCAGTGAGGTTGCCATGCATTTGAAATGAGTTTGCAGAATTGTCCACCTAGCTCTGCAATAGATGTGTGGCCATGGAGGAATTTCAAAACTGATAAAGAACTCGAGATAATGCTAGATTGCCGATGTAGGAGAGATTGTAGGAAACGGTATGCTTCTCTCCCTCCTCCTGCCTCTTTCCCCAGAATTTCCAAAACTGGAATTCACCATATTCTGTCATAAGTCGATCCTGGCCAAACTTCCATTCCGTAGGATGCTCCCTCTCTCTCTCTCTTAAAATCGGGAGCATTCTAGAAATGCTCTTTCACATACATTGAAGGGGGAGAGGTCTCTGTCTTCGCCCTGCACGCAATCCTGCCCTTTTGGGAAGGAGGACATGTCTACCTTCCCAATGATGCGGGAGAAATTTTTGGAATTTCACGCTCCCCTCAGCGTTCCAGTCGGAACACAGTAGAACGGTGCTGAGAAATCCGAGGCGGGCGGGATTTGAACACCGAATTTCCTTTAGACATGGGACGGGCTGGGGGACGGAGGGGGGCTCCGAGTGCTGTTTTTCTGAACCCTTTCCCCCACACCCCCACACCTTTGGAGAGCTTTTTCAGGCTCACGCCAACTTGTTTGGGGGCAAGGCAAAGGAGCCTTGCATTCCCGTCTCCCTGTGAAAGCATCCAGCCAGGGTCGCATGCCTCCATGTGACTTCTTGCAGCCTCCGGAAGATGTAACCCAAAACTTCGCAGGTGTTAATCGGGGGGGGGGGGGGTAATGTAAACAGGAGCCCCCTTTGTGCAGCTGACGTGGGGGCCTGCCTGCTCCCTGGCTAGTCCGGGACATACTACTACTGTGCTTGGTGCTTGTTTAATATTTCATGGCTGTAATAAACCTGTCTTCTTTGCCCGCCTCCCGACATAAAACCCCAACCCCGCACACATCTGCAATTATACATTTCCACTAAATATTAATAAAGGACAAGGATGTTTTCAGGGGCTGAAAGCTTCTTAGTGTGAAGCTTGCTATGGTTTCTGCCCTGGCTTTTTTTTTTTTTCCTGGCTGTTTTGCTTTTAAATAGCTACCGCCTTCTAATATGTAACATATACTTATGTATTCTCCTCTGTGTAAATATATACTTTTTTTTTTGCAGATGGAAGGGTTTTCCTCAAGGATAGCTTTCTTTAATATAAATTCATTTAGATGTCTTGGGAGGCCCCCTCCTTCAGTCCCGGAAGTAAGAGACTGTTGAAATGGACTTCTTATTTTATTGAGGTTTCTAGGAAAGGAGTGAGGCTTGGTTAATCTAATTTCTCTTTCTAGCAATGAAAGTCTTATGGTTCCTGATACGATTTCGTTTGCCTGACAGAGGTATTTAAATTTCCGCAAAGAATCTTAATGGGTCCCGAAAATCGGGCTGCCCTCGCCAAGAAGTTACTTGATACTCTGGGCTGATATGAAATCTACATCTTTCATAAATATTTGGGCGAGGACCCGGCGAAATTAGAGGGAGGAAAATTCCTCCCACCGTGGAAGTCTGTATCCTTGGAATGTCACAGGGATCTCCTGAGCCCATTGCATGCTGGAAGGTTTAGCAGAATCACCGTTCTCTCCACTAGAGTGACAGTAACTTTGGGTCGTGTTCTGTGCTCTGCGAGTGATCTCCTTTGCCCAC